TACCGCTACAAATTCGTAGTGTCATTTTAAAGCCCCCACTCCTGGGCCCCCAATACCACTAGGGATTAAGGGAGGCATCCAGAGCTGAGAAATGGGAAGCCATGACCTGAGTTGGGAGGCCAGGAAGGCAGTGTATCTCCTGACCCTGGTGGGGAGGAAAGGAGAGGCCCCCACTTTGATGGAGATGCGCCCCTGCCCTTGTTGAGGCGACAACCTCCCCTGCAATTTCTGAGCTCCTTTCTGGGCAAGTGAGCACCCCAGCTGTGTGGCTTGTCAGCCCGAGCCCAGTGGGCAGCGAGGGCTGGGCCTCACTGCCGCCTACACCCATGGGATGCTGCCCTCAGCCCCCCTCGGGCACATGATGCCGGCGTGCCACTGCGCCTGCCCTGCGTGCCCTGGCTTAGGGAGGGGTCCTGGGGAGCCCAGAGAGAACGGAGGAGTGAGGGGCTGGGGCCGCTGTTTGGCGGGTTGCTCAGGCCTCGTGCAAAGCCCGTTGGGCCTGGAGACAGACTTGTGAGGCCTCTGGAGAAATGAGCCTGGATTTCACCACTGACTTCTCTTTTAATTCGGTTCTGACAGCAGCAGGGCCGGCTGGCTGCAGATTCGGGGGCAGCTTTCCGTGGTCCCAGGCCTCTCGGTTTCAGCGCGGGTTGGCTTTCTCGGAGGCAGGGAACGCTCACTTTTCTGCAGGAGCCGGGCAGGAGCCTCACTGCACACGTGTGAGCACGCACCCGCCTTCCTGATGGTGCATGCGTTTTTGTGCACAAGTATGTGCGAGCTGCCTTTGGAAAAGTCTGGACGGAGCACCTGCTCCCCATCCACCCGTCCACCTCCTCACCAAGGGCGGCGGCCTGGGAAGTCAGGTTGGGCCTCAGGGTCTCCTCGGTGAGGTCCTCGCCGGGCCTCTCCCAGCAAGGCCCCGGGGAGTGCCCTGTCTGAGCAGGCGCTCGGCCTGCGTGTGGGCTTTCAGGAAAGTTGTCTCAGGCGCAGGCTCTTCTGGAGGATAACACCCCCTCCACCAGGGTCTCCCGGAAGGAGGTGCCTCTCAAGAAGAGAGAACTGTGCAGGCGGGGACGGAAAAGGGGAAGGGACTAAACAACACAAAACAAAACCCCGAACCTCACACACAGACAACAGTGTGGTGATGGCCAGAGGGAGGGCGTGGGAGGAGGTAGAAGAGGGTAAAGGGGATAAATGGTGATGGAAACCTGTGTAATTTTATGAACCAATGTCACCCCACTAGATTCAATAAAAAGGTTAAAAAAAGAGGAAAACAAAAGAGAACTGGAAGCTAGGCTTGCCAGGACTATGTGCAGCAGGTTTGGGGTGAAAGGACAGAGAAATGGAAATTCACAACCCCCCCCCCCCCGGGGGTCTCCTCGGTGAGGTCCTCGCCGGGCCTCTCCCAGCAAGGCCCCGGGGAGTGCCCTGTCTGAGCAGGCGCTCGGCCTGCGTGTGGGCTTTCAGGAAAGTTGTCTCAGGCGCAGGCTCTTCTGGAGGATAACACCCCCTCCACCAGGGTCTCCCGGAAGGAGGTGCCTCTCAAGAAGAGAGAACTGTGCAGGCGGGGGCGGAAAAGGGGAAGGGACTAAGCAACACAAAACAAAACCCCGAACCTCACACACAGACAACAGTGTGGTGATGGCCAGAGGGAGGGGGTGGGAGGAGGTAGAAGAGGGTAAAGGGGATAAATGGTGATGGGAGGAGACTTGGTTGGGGTGGTGAACACAATGCAGTGTACAGATGATGTATAATAGAATTGTACACCCGAAACCTGTGTAATTTTATGAACCAATGTCACCCCACTAGATTCAATAAAAAGGTTAAAAAAAGAGGAAAACAAAAGAGAACTGGAAGCTAGGCTTGCCAGGACTATGTGCAGCAGGTTTGGGGTGAAAGGACAGAGAAATGGAAATTCACAACCCCCCCCCCCCCCCCCACATGGTCTGGACTTGGCTTTGTGGAGTCTGTGAGGGGTTCAGCCTCCCCAAATTCCAGAGGCTCCCTGGCTGAGTCTCCCGCACCTGGGCCTTCACTGGGGTGGGGTGCCGAGGAAAGAGGGACAGAGAACCCCCACCCCCCGGGAGCCCCTAGTCTGAGCCGCCGGTCTGAGGGAGGAAATAGCTTCCTGTCCTCTCCTCACTCCTGGGGAGCCCCCACTTTGATGGAGATGCGCCCCTGCCCTTGGTGAACTTCCTGTCTGAGAGGGAGCTATCACTGCTGCTCTCAGGGTCCCCTAGAAAGGGGTGAGCCTCAGAACCCTGCCTCCTGAGAGCACCCCATTTCCCCCAGCTGGGACGCAGAGCTCAGCCATCAGGGGCTGGCTTAGAAAAAGCAATTTTGTTGGCCATCTCAAAGTCTTGCCCTTCTGGGTCCTGCATTCGGATCGGGAATGAGATCAGGAATGAGCTTCGAGTTGATTGCCTTGGTTCCCTATGGAGGACCCCCTAACCCCCACCAGCTTCTTTGTCTCCATGGGAAACCTCTTGGTGATTTGAGACGGGATGGAGTTGGGTTGAGGCTCCGGCTAGAGTGACTCTGCAGCAAAACAAGCCGAGCCGTGTTACTGCCGCTTCCTGTTCACCAAGCTCGCACGAGGCCCGGAATTCCAGGCTCCTGCCACACACGGCTGATGAACTGAGCCCCTTTCCCAGGTAAACCCGATCATGGCACTTACCAGCTCAGCCCCCTCCAGCACTTACAATCAAACTCTTCACTGGATTTTAAGGTGGCCCTGCCCACCTCTCCCACCTCTGTCTTAGCACTGTGCTGCCCACACTGACCACCTTTCTGTTTCTCAAGCATGGCAAGCTCATTCCTGCCCCAGGGCCTTTGCACCTCCCGTGCCCTCTGCCTGGAATGCTCTCCCTGCCCTCACCTCATTATCCCAGGGCTGATTCCTTCACGTTTTTAATGTCTCTGATTAAATGCCTCCTAGAGAGACCTTCTCTGGCCACCCAACCTTAATGGCTCCCAACATTTTTTCCTGTGCAGCGGCTTTAATTATTTGGAGTCATCTTTATCTGTGTGTTTGTTTCACTGGTCTCTGCACTGGGAACACACACTTCGTGAGAGCCCCTGGGTGATCTCATTCATCACTACCTTCCCAGCACCTAGACCCATGCCAAGCACATAGTAGGAGCTCAAGAACATCTGTTAATGAATGAGACCACATTAGGAACTGGGCCTGCACCGAGCTCCCCCTCACCCAGGTCCCTGTAACCTTATGACAACTTCCACTTACAGATGGAAACTGAGGCACAGGCCTGTGCAGTTACTGAGGAAATGAGCTCTAATAGCAGGTCTGGTAGCAAATCCATGTTCTGTCCAACATCTTCCTGCAGTTTCGGGTTTCTGTGCTCTTTGCAGAGGAAAGGGAAGGAGGAAACTCACGAGGCCCTGCCTTGGACCAGTCCTCCGCGCTCAGGTTTCTCCTCCCCTGCAGGTCTTCCTCCCTCATTTTTTTTTTTTTTTGCACTCGCTGCTCTAGCATTCACATTTTCCTATGTTCTTTACACAGTCTGTGTAAACGATTTTGAGTGGGTGTGGAACAGTCCACCACGTGGATACGTCGGAGTTACCTGAATGGCTGGGCACTTAGGTTGTTTCCAGTCTGCTGTCCCGGAGTTGTCTGCATTGGAGCAACATCTGGATGTTGTAGATGAAGCTCAAGGGTCCGTCCGTTCACTCCGACCAAATGTTACTGCGTGCTGGCCCCTGTGCCGAGCAGGGGGCACTGATGGGCCTGGGGCTCTGTCTGCTGTTGGAGATCATAGTCCGGGGTGGGAGGCGCTGAGCAGACACAGGGTGGCGTAGGTGTCACGGGGCTGGAGAGTGGAGAACTGCGTGCAGAAGGTGGTCTGGTGCAAGGGCGGTCGGGGGTGCCTCATGGAAGAGGGGCATCACCCCGAAGGGAGTCTTCAGGTGCTGAAAGGCTGTTGCCAGGAGGGCACTGGGTAATGCACACAGCACATAGGTCACCGTGAGGGCGGAGGCATGGCCGCGTGGTTCCTCCTGAGTGTCCTTCCGGCCCAGGCTCGAGTCGGCCTGGAGTGGAGGGAGCCTGCCAGGGCAGAGCTGAGGCAGAGGCGGGCGGAGTGCCGAGTTAAAGAACTTTGTCCTGCAGTGGATGGAACTCTGACTGTCTTCTCTCTTTAAAAAAGAGGTTTTCTTTAAAAGACCAAAATTATACATACACCTATTTAAAAAAATCAAATAGCATAGAACAGGGATCCTCAAACTACGGCCTGCGGGCCACATGCGGCCCGCCGAAAACATTTATCCGGCCCGCCGGGTGTTTTTGCCGCCACTGCCTGTCCTGCTTAGCAGCCGACTCGTCCCGGGCCTGCAGTGCGCATGTGGTGAATGTCTGAGGGACAGTGAACTGGCCCCCTGTTTAAAAAGTTTGAGGACCTCTGGCATAGAATGGTTCATCCCCAGACCCCTTCCTGGGAGAAAATGCTTGTCACCTGTTTCTGTTTTCAATTCACCTGCATGACTGTGACTTGTCTGTCCTGCTGGTTCCTGACTTACCGATTTTGGACATTCTGTGTTGCCTCCCCACTGTAAAAGGTGAGGATTTGGCTCACAGCACCCGCCTCTCTTCCCAGGAGTTGTGTCGGCTGCCTTTGTAACTTTAGATAATATGTAAGTGGCTGCTTCCTTCCATTGACTTTAGTTCTTTCTCTCCTGTCACGGTGGCGTGCTAGAGCCGGGGCCTGTCAGCTCCTAAGAGCCTGGTGTGTGTGACTTTCTCCCTGCTCCTTCTTCAGTGATGTCGTGTGGGTAGCTTGAGATTGGTCCTGTTGGAAGTATTTACACCAGGGGAATTGGCAGACACGACACACCAGGGTACCTCTGCCTGTTAAACAATTACCAACACGCCACTGCTGGGCTCCTGGGGTTTCCTTCCGGCCTCAGCTGGTTCAGGCGGAGGCCAGAGTAGCTTGGCCCCCAGATGTTTGGCTGGCCCAGCACCAACACCGCCACTCTGTCCGCAGCAAAGCTTCGAGGCGCACCAGGATGAGGCCGTGAGCGTGACGCACATGGTGAAGGCGGGCAGCGGCGTCTGGATGGCCTTCTCCTCCGGCTCCTCCATCCGCCTCTTCCACACGGAGACGCTGGAGCACCTGCAAGAGATCAACATCGCCACCAGGACCACCTTCCTCCTGCCAGGTGAGGCTGCGGGGGCCTGGTCCCGGGCCTGTGGAGGGAGGGCGCTGACAGTGGTGGCCGGCAGAGGTGCATCCTGCCCAGCCCATCTCATTAACCTTGTGGGAGCCTTAGGTTGGCCTTGAAACGGGCCTCCAAGGCAGGCAGTGGAGGGTTTAGAATTCGAGCCCAGGACTGTCCTTTTAAAACCCTGCTCGCTGTCACCACGTGCCCCCTCGGCCTGCAGCACAGGGGGCGCGGGCTCGCAGGAAGTGAGGCTCCGAGCTCAGCGGACTCTCCCACGCCAGGCAGCTGCTAAAAAGCCACTCTGGGTGGGAACCAGGCCTGTCTACACCTGCCACTCCTCAGGTTGACAAGAAACCAACTCTGCCTCGAATCACCTTCAGGATGAGGTGCAGGGGAAGAGCGAGGGCCGAGCAAGGAGCTCTTTGTTTAGAGGTTTTTCTAAGAAAGGCAGCTGTCCCTTTTAGTTCCCTGGCCAGGCTGGGAGCGGGGGTTGGACAGCATCCCGGGGCCTGTGCTTCCTCCTGCAGAGCTGTTGGTGAGACGTGATGGAGAGGATTAAGGCTGGAGCGCACCTAACCCCTGCCCCGTCTCTGTCTGAGGCTTTGGCGGAATTGGCTCTAGGCATCTCCCTTACCATCTGCTGCCCACGCTGCCGCCCAGACCCCCGCAGGCTGTGCTAGGAGAGCAGGGCGGCCACCTGCTCAGGGCCCATTCCCGCCCACAGCTGGCCATAGAGCAGACCACAGAGCCAGCTGCACAGCCTGCCTTGCCTCCCTGGTTGGCCCCGCTTCCACCAGACAGGCTGACTGACCCAAGCACTGCAGGCTGGGCTGGTCTTAGCAGCTGGGGAGCTGAAGGGCCCTGGGGCCAGGGGCAGAGCAGGCATGGCAGGCTGAGGGCCTGGCGCCAATTGTTACCAGGACTCGGCAGATGGGCCACGGCGTCGCTAAAAGCAGCTGAGCCAGGAGACTGACCTCCCGTTGTGTGAGGCTGGGCCAAGGGCGGGCACGCTAGCCAGCACTTTGGGGGCCATGGGAGCCTGTCTCACCCCAGAGGCCTGGTTCCTGACCCCACGTGGAGCACCTGGAAATCACCCTGGCCCCTGCTTCCTCCCAGATCGTTGAGACTGTCCCTGACTTGTGGCCACAGGGGATCTTGTACCAACAACAAGATCAACAACAAACAGCGATGGAATGTAATTAACTACCACCCCACCATGAGCCCTACTGTGAGCAAGGTCCCAGGCACTTGACCCACAGGGTCTCACTTCATCTTAACCCCGCGAGGTGGGGGTTGTCCCCGCTGTACAGATACAGAAACTGAGGTTTGCTCAGCAGGTCAGGAGGCCGGTCTGTGGTCATGCCGCCCGCCAGAGGCAGGACTGGAGTCGCAAGAGGTCAGACTCACTTCAGAGTCCCACTGTGTGTAATGGGGGAAGGGATGACTTTAGAGGGGCCCAGAGTCCTGGCTCAATCACGTTTGGGTCTTGGGCAGGTCTCTTTGCCTCCCGGAACCTCTGGTCCCTCTATGGGACTGGAGGTGGCTCTGGGCTCCTGGTAAATGCCATCAGTGCGGGAAGGCACCTTGCCCAGGTCTGGGGTGTGGTGGGTACACCTGGAGGAGAAATGCCCCCTAACATGTTCCCTGGGGTGTGGGAGGGGCCTGTGGGGCCCATGTTATGGGTCTTTTTTTTTTTTTGCAGCTTTATTTTTTTTGTATTTCATAGGGTTTAGCCATTCTGCACAGTAAATCCATTTAGCTATGATAGATGTGTCTCTGTATCACAAAATATTTCCCCATTCACGCTGATAGCTAAATTATTTCAAGTTAGTGGGATAAGGGGAAAGTCGCACCATCTCTGGGCCTTTCCGATCTTGTCAAGCTCGTCTGCGGGAGTGGGGAGAGTGAGAGGAAGCGTCACGGTTACCGGGGCCCAGAGGTGGATTTGTGGGCAGATCGGCTGCAGGTGGAAAACTCCAGCTCCCAGCGGCGCAGCTCACTCACTGTGGACGTTCAAAACACAGGCCCGCGCCCCCTGGCTGACTGGTTCTTTGCACTTACCCCTTAGAGAAGGGAGAGTGTTCATCATCAGGATGATTATTTCAGAGCCAGTAAACCGAGGCCCAGGAGGTTAATCGACTGGCCCAAGGTCACGCTGCTGATGAGGCCGGAGCCAGGGCGCGAACCGCAGCCCCCTCACAGACTTACTGCGCAGTCCCCCTTCCTAGGCCTCCGTTTCCCCATCTGTACAGTGAGGGGCCGAGATTTGAGCCAGAGCTTGACCATGCCGTGTAGGGCAACCCGGAACCTGGAGTCGGGCAGGCCCTGCTGGGATCCTGGCTCTGCCACTTTGCAGCCCTGTGACTGGGGGCGGGTGGGGAACCTCTCTCATCCTTGGGCCCTGCCTCTCGGGGAGGCATGGGCCTGAGACGGTGCAGCCTCTGGCTTGAGTCTCAGTCCCCGATGGTGCTGTTCACTGTCATCGGCTCCATCATGCCTTCTCGGCCATCCCCATCCCTGGTCACACTGGCTACTGTGGGCCATGCGTCTCCCAAGGGGCTCCTTGCTCACCCCCACCCTCCCTTCCCTCCTCATCAGCTACATCCGAGCAGACAGAGCCACCCCTACGCTTGCCGGACCTCTTTGGGACTGGGCCCTGGGCACATCCGGGATGGAGGCTGAGGTTCCTGGGTACAGGGCTTCCCGAAGGTGACTGCCCTGGGCCTTCTCCCTCCGGCTTGGCCGTTCCTACACCACACCCAGAGCCCCCACACCCGAGGGCCCCCACACCCGAGGGATGCTGGGCTGGAGCTAGCATGGGGCAGAGGGCAGCTTCAAATCCACCCACCTTGTGCCTCGGCTAAAGAACAACAGAGCGGGACTCTTACGTTCTTTATTAGAAATATTTAGAAAGTGTTTTTTCTTCGCCCACACCAGCAAATGAAATAATTGCATAATTAGTAATAAATTTGTTCCTCCTTTAAGCGTGGATTTCTTTAAGGGGACGTAAAATATTTATCACGCTTCCTTCCCCCGACCCCTGCCTTCCACTCGGCACCCGACTGGTATTAATGCATTTTTGAGCCTAAACTCCCTCCTCCTCTTAACTAGACAGGTCATTAATAAAACGTTCTCCGAGAGCCCGAGCTTTTTAAAGTTGCATATCTCCAGATAGATGGCTCGGGCGAGCTGCACGCTGCTGCATTAAGTCTCTGTGATAAAATATTTATCCACCATTAGGATTTTTTTTCTCTCGGACTGTTTGTGAGGTGCCTTGCTCTTTCGCTCGAGGCGGAGGGGGCGGAGGAAGGGCCCCGGAATGAGGTCTGATGATGAAGTCATTTCTCAACTCCGGCATCTCTTTGGGTTTCTTGCTGCCTTCCTTTGGGTTTCGGATATGGGGGTGGGGGTGGGCGGGACGATGTAGGGGCATCAGGAAATGGTCTCCTTCTGGTCTTCAGGCTCCCGGGGCCCCGGAACAGGAGGTGAGGCGCTAGAGATGAAAAAATTTGCCACTGTTTCCGCGCTTGGCTTTATTGTTTTTGTGGGTTTATGGCTCTAGTGGAGCTGGTCGGAAGAGTCTAGGTCCTTTTAATAATTATAGCTGTTTTCCTAATAGCCTGCCTTTATTGATTGTGTACTAGGGCTAAGAGCTGTGCTCAACCGTGTATATATATTATCTCTATATGTGCTGTATATGTATATGCATATTTCTAATAACCATAAAATTGAGCAAGGTAGGTTTGTAATATTCATTGATCAATGAAAGTGACTTGTTAATTCACACAGTTAGTCAGTGACATCAGCACCCATGTCCTTTTCCACTTTCCTTCATTTTTCATTCATTCATTCATTCATTCACCCACCCATTTACTCACGGATACTTGTTGAGTGTCTGCCATGGTACTGGGAATGGACCTTGAGCACAGATAAGCCTCTACCCTCATGAAGCTTATAGTTGGGACAGCGAACAGCAAATAAGGAAAGGGAAGAAGAGGGTGGTTATAGACCTTGGCCGGGGCCAGGAGGGAAGACGGCTGGTGACAAGAGGGAGCTCGTAGCCTGAGCCTGTTGCTCTGACTTCCCGGGGCCAGGAGCACCCAGTGGGACCACAGGTGCCCTAGTAGTTGACTCAGATGTGAGGCACAGTCCCGGCCCCACAGACCCGCAGATGCTGTGTGTGAAATAAATAGTGCCTGCCGTCAAGTGATGAACTGGCTTTTTTTCGGTGTGGTTTGCATTTCCACGTTGAATCAATACTATGAATATGACTTTTTGAGTTTGCATCACATCGCCAGACTCATATATCTCCCTGCCTGCTGACAGCTCCATTTGGCTGTCTAACGTGCATCTCAAGCAACACACCCGGCGGAGAACTTGGACTTCCACCCCAAGCCCGCTCCTCCCCCATCTCAGTCGGTGTCACTGCCGTGTACCCGGCTGCACGAGACAAAACCCTCCGAGTTGCCCTTGATTCCTCCCCTTCCTCTCCTCCCACTCTGGTCAGTCAACGGCTCTGTTGTTCTGCTTCAAAACAGATCTCGGACCTGTTGGCTTCTCATTTTCTTCCCGCCACCATTGCGTTTCTGTCCCCATCTTATGCCCCCTTCTTCCCTCACTGCTAAATGCTCCTCTAAAATCAGGCCTATCACTCACCTGTTAGACCTTGGCTTCTCATTTTCTAACTGCCACCATTGCGTCTCTGTCACCATCTTTGCCCTCTTCTTCCCTCACTGCTAAACGCTCCTCTAAAATCAGGCCTATCACTCACCTGTTAGACCTTCTGGTAGCGTCTCATCGCGCCCAGAATGAACAGTCACAGTCCTTACCCCGGTGTCCACTCTCCTGACCTCCTTCTGCTCATCTCGAGTTTGCCCTGGTCTCTGAGCTGTACTCGCTTCAGTCTGTTCCACTGACCTGCTAAGCTCATTCTTGTCACAGGGCCTTTGCACATGCTATCTCCCTGGCTTTGGCTCAGGTCTTGACGTGGCTGCCTTCTCCTTGTCATCCTGATCTGGCATCCTCACACCTGCCTCCCCATCCTTCCTGGAAGCAGATGGAGGCATGAAATCCCAGGATCCCCCTCGCCTGCTCCATCACCCCATTGGAATCCTCTGCTAGTGCTTATGTTCCTTGTTTATGTTTTCACTTCCCATGTTCCCTTTCCAGGGCTGCACTGATACGGTAGCCATTATTAAAATTAAATGGAATGAAAAATTCAACCCTCAGCCCCACTAGCCACATTTTAAGGGCTCAGTAGTCACGTGGTTAGTGGCTATATAATTGGGCATTCTGGTAGAGAACATTAGCATCATGCCAGAAAGTTCTAGAATGTTTTATCCTCAAGAGCAGAACGTTGTGTGTGGTTCCTGCTGTGCCTCCCACACCAAGGGCAGAATCCCGCACACCATAGGTGCTGGGAATATCCCAGGGTTCATAGTGAATGGATGAGTGACGGTCTGGCACGCTGGGTTAGACAAGGCTGTGCGGGCCCCAAGATGGAAACCCTTCTTCCGGGGTGACTGGAGCCCCATCATTCTCCTCCGAGACGGTTTGCTCTGCAGAGGAGGCCCCTACCCCTCTTCGTATGGACCCGAGGCAATTTGCACAAGAGCAGAGAGGCATTGGGAGTGCCCGGCTGTAATAGGCAGGGGCTTGAGTGCGGCTCCCCACCCTGCACTCACCAGCTGGGAGAACTCTGGACCTTGACATTCCCTTCTGGGAAATGGGCATAGCATCTGCGCCTTGCAGGCCTCTCAGTGGTTGCAAGGCTTACATCAGACTAGAGCAAACACGAGTGCAGCCAACGCTCCAAAGCAGTTTTCTCAAAGTGCGGTCCCTGGACCGGCAGCATCGTGCCACCAAGGACCTTGCTAGAAATGCCGTTTGGGGCCTCACCTCGAGGGGGTTGGCCCCTGGTTGTGAGCCCTCCTGTGGTGCCGACGGCAGGCCCAGGTTGAGGACCACCGCTCTCAGCAGCATCTCACACATCACGTGGCATTGTTATTGCCGAGATGCGTGGCGTGAGTTAGAATTTCCTTTAGGGGAGAATCAGCCCCTCTCAGCGGGGCAGGAGGATCTGGGCCAGAAGCGGGCCAGCCCTCTGGGAAGCCAGGCGTCCGCTCTGGGCCTCTCCTTCACGCCCATTCTCACTGACCCAACTGTTGGCAATGGGACAGCAACTACTATAATGGCGGACAGCACCGTCTGTGCACACCACGTTTCATCCTCGGGACAAGGCTATGAAATGTCATTGCCGGCCCTGCTCTCGGCACTGGCTGTGCAGCCCACACTGTCTTCCTCCCTGTGAAGAGCAGTGGGACCCTCGCTGCCATCGCTGTTTGCTAAAAGGAAGAGACAGCACCCAGGGGATAGCCAACAAGAGCTAGTCTGGGCCGACATCAGAAACATGCTCGTCCCTGGCGCGGAGCTGTCCTTTGCACTGTCGGGCCCAGGGACTGCAGGGCGGAAGGGCCCACGTGGGCAACGTGTCAAGCCTGGGCTGGAAAGTTAGGGGCTGCAACAGGTTGTCAGTTTGCTTTGCTTCTCGTATCCACCCTGGCCCCTCCCATGCATCCCGTCTGCACCATCCTCCTCTTCACCTCAAACCTGCTCCTTCCCAGGCCCCCCTGGCTTCACTCCCAGGCGGCTGGCGGTGACCCTGGTGTGGCCCCCTGGGCCTGCCCCGTGTGCCAGAGCACCCAGCCCCTGTATGCGGGAGCTCACAGGGGCCGGCACCGTGCTCTGTGGCATTCCCTCATTGCGTCCTTGCAGCAGAAACTGAGGCTGGGGGAGGGAGCACTCCGCCTCCCCCGCCCCCGCTCTGACCCGCACCCCGCCCAGCTTCTTGCTTGTCTCCCGGAGGAGCCCGGGTGATACCCTTCCCTCAGCTTGAGGTGGCTCCCAGAACCCACTGCTGCCCCAGGGAGCGTGCTGCTCACGCTGGCCTCTCTCTCTGCAGGCCAGAAGCATGTGTGCGTCACCAGCCTCCTGATCTGCCAGGGTCTGCTCTGGGTGGGCACCGACCAGGGTGTCATCGTCCTGCTGCCCGTGCCTCGGCTGGAAGGCATCCCCAAGATCACAGGTGAGGTTCTGGGAAAGTCTTGTCGGGGCCCAGGAGTCAGCTGCAGATGGAGGGGCCTGGGGGCATAGTGAATAATGCCCAGATGTTTGGCGGGGGGTGGTGTCTGTTCTCCAGTTTTCTCTGTCATCGCTGGCCGCACTGTGGTACAATGCAATCAAATCACCTCAGCCCCATAGTCTCCCGCTTTCTTTCTGAGTCTCAGTCTCCCAGTCTGGCAAATGGGCACAGTGGTGCATATTGGCCAGGTGGTTTCAAGACTGGCTGAGACACCTGACTGATGGCAGAGGCTCTGCCGGGCCCATTCTGCTCCCTCCCCACAGCAGCTTCACAACATCCAGGCTCCAGAGATAGAAATAACTGTGGGCTCCTTGGGGTGGGGCTATGTACAAATGTGTGTGCGTGGAGTAGAGGAAGGCCTGCCCTGATGTGAGGCAGCAGGGCCCAGGAGGACAAGTGGGTCAGGGAGGACCCCAGAGCTCTGGGCCGCTCTTTGCCTCTCCCTGAGAGCAGGGGTGCGTGGGAGGGAGGAGCCCCGAGGGAGGCCAGCCCCACCAGATCTCTAGCTCTCTGCTAAAGAAAAACCCTAAATTCTGAGATTTCCTGCTTGCATCATAGAGATCATATTGTTCATCCTGGGCTGGGTCCTGGGGTTGCAGGGATGTACCAGGCAGAGACCCTGCCCCTAAGGCAGTGGTCGGCAAACTGCGGCTCTCGAGCCACATGCGGCTCTTTGGCCCCTTGAGTGTGGCCACGAAGTTTCAATCGCACTGTACGTGCGCTCCCGCACGTGGTATTTTGTGGAAGAGCCACCACACTCAAGGGGCCGCCGTTTGCCGACCACTGCCCCAAGGAGGGATGGTCTGGTGGGGCGGCTGTAGTCCAGGGTGGCAGGTGCTAAGTGGGGCGCCCAGGGACTGTGGGCACAGAGACAGCAGTGATCAGCTCTCCATGGTGATTTCCAGAAGGATGTGCTGTGGAGGAGCTCGAGCTGGGCTTCCAAGGATGTTATAGAATCAGGTGGGTGGGAAAGGCTCTCTAGGTGGACGCAATGGCTCGGCAAAGGCCCTGAGCCGTGCGGGTGGCTCAGGCAGGGAGCTGCAGGCGCTTTCACACTGAGGGTCCCCTGGTGCTTTATAAGGTCACTCCTGTCCTCCTGCTTCACCCAAGAAGGTAGCCTAGAGCATGGGAGACCTCCCACAATCAGAAAGTTCTCCCAGAGATGTGTGGGTGCCTCGCTTAAAGCTCTGGACCTTTGGCCCCTTCTCTCTGCCCCACGTCTGCAGGGAAAGGCATGGTCTCCCTCAACGGTCACTGCGGGCCTGTGACCTTCCTGGCCGTGGCTACCAGCATCTTGGCCCTGGACATCCTACGGAGTGACCAGGAGGAGGCCGAGGGCCCCAGGGCCGAGGAGGACAAGCCGGACGGGCAGGCTCCTGAGCCAGCGCCCGCGCCCTCCAGCCACGTGGGCCGGG